CAGCTTTTCACATGATGTATTCTGCATATAAGTTAAATAAGATGGGGGACAATATACAGCCTTGTCGTACTCCTTTTCCAATTTTGAACCAATCAGTTGTTCCATATCCAGTTCTAACTGTTGCTTCCTGTCCTACATATAGGTTTCTCAGGAGATAGACAAGGTGGTCAGGCACTCCCATTTCTTTTAAGGACTTGCCATAGTTTGCTGTGGTCCACACAGTCAAAGGCTTTTGCGTAGTCAATGAAGCAGAAGTAGATATTTTTCTGGAACTCTCTGGCTTTCTCCATAATCCAGCGCATGTTAGCAATTTGATCTTGAGTTCCTCTGCCCCTTCGGAATCCAACTTGTACTTCTGGGAGTTCTCGGTCCACATACTGCTGAAGCCTACCTTGGAGGATTTTGAGCATAACCTCAAAATCCCAATGATTATGGAGTTAGAAAAACTCATGGAGAGTAGCAATAGGAATGGAAGGCGACAGTGATCTTTCAAGGACAACAGTGACACACAGGCTAACTCTTGTTAGTATGCCATTTCTGAGTATTTCTTGAAAACCCTATGATGAAACAACCCAAATTGACACAAGAGATACTGCTGGAAGATGAGACTACAAGATCGGATGGTATGCAATCAGCTACTGGGGAAGTGCAAAGGGCAAGTACAAATGGCACTGTTGCTAATGAAGCAAGTGGATTAAAGCTGAAACGACATGCAGTGGCTGATGTGCACGAGGTAAGTAGAAATCTGATGCTGTACAATAATATACCGCAACTGGATTGTGAGAAGTATGGTAGTCCCATAGATTACTACGTACAGGTGCGAGAACTGGACAGTGTAGAACATTAACAGGAAAAAATATGCTGGAGAAGAGTTTTGTGGATACCATAGAATAACAAAAACGAAGTGAATTCTACATCTAAACAAGCTCTCTAGAAGCAAAAGTGATAAAACAGGTTATCGTACTTTGAGCACATCATAAAAAGATTTGACTCATTGGAAAAGACAATAATGCTGGGAAAGTTTAAAGGCAATGGGAAAAGAGGAAGACCAAATAACGAGATGGATTGACTCAATAAAGAAGGCCATGGCCTAGCTGGAGAGGGCAGTTGATACACCTTTTGTATAGGGTCTCACTTAGAAAAGACTTGATTGCACATAACAATATATTCTTCAAACTGCTTTATTACACTTTAACTTCAGAACTGTGCATGAAAGTACTATGGCAGAGATAAATAATGTAGAGCTGTCGGTGTTTTGGACATTAAGTCCTAGTCTTCATCCAAAACATCTGGAGATCCACAAGATCTCTTAGATCTTTTCTCACTGTGTGAGAATCTGTCCTATTTCCTTTCCCTACATGATCCCTCGAAGGCAACCTTTAGAGAGAAAGGGCCATAGCAGAAATTGCTAAACATGGAGAGAAATCCTTGTAAGATTTTTCTGGTCCAGCTACCAGTATAACCTGGATAGGTTAGGGTATTATGCACTTCCCTAGGGTGGTCGGTGACATTTACTGTGCTTGTGCTTCCTCAAGTACCAAAACATCTTGGTATGGAAGATGTCCAGCAATGATAGCCTCTTGTTTCTGGGGCCCTTTCCATCTGAAAAAAAAAGTATAGCATTCTTTCAATAAGTGGCAAATGGATGACAGGTAAAGGTAAAGGTTCCCCTTGACGTTTAGTCCAGTCATGTCCAACTCGAGGGCGCAGTGCTCATCCCCATCTCCAAGCCGTAGAGCCAGCGTTTCTCTGTAGACAGTTTCTGTGGTTACATGGCCAACGCGACTAGACATGGAACGCCGTAACCTTCCCACCATGGTGGTACGTATTTACTTGCATTTTTACATGCTTTCAAATTGCTAGGTTGGCAGGAGCTGGGACAAGCGATGGGAGCTCACTCAGTCACGTGGTGTCGATCTTACGACTTCTGGTCTTCTGACTTGCAGCACAGTGGCTTCTGTGGTTTAATCCGCAGTGCTACCATGTCCGTGGTGGATAACAAAAGCTAGGGAAACGTAGATTTGGATGCCACCAAAACTGTTTTGGTGGCATCCAAATCAAAACAAACACTCAAAAGCAAAGCAATGTTGAGTTTCCTTAAAACACAAAAGAGCAACTGAGAAACGGCAATACTAGAAGAACTTCAAAACTAATGAATAAACACAGCATGGTTTTCCAGCTGGATATAACCTTTTTGAAATCAAATACTATACAGTGGTGTGATGATAACAGGGGATTTCCACTTAAGCTTGGATATAGTTCCAATATAACACTTGGAGAGTGCACAGTCAGTCAGTTCCACATGTGTGGATGCCACATCCACTTTTTAAAAAACTTCCTGCCGCAGTGACATAACAGGAATTTAAAAAAAAAAAACACCAAAAGTTCCAGGCTTGCCAAAAATGCCGAGTGTGCGCCTGGTCACCTCTTTGCTGCTTTGTTAGCCCCTTTGCTCAGTCTCCGGGCCGGCCCCATTGATCACTCACTGACTCCCCTTAGTCACTTGCCGCCCCCTTTTCGCTCACGTCCCCTTGCTCACCCCCCACCCTTCAGGCATCTCTTCCCGTCACCTTCCACCCTAAGGCCACTTTCCCTCTTGTCTCCCTTCCCCTCCCCTTCCATTCTTCCTGACCCAACCACCTCCCTCCCTCCCGCCCCTTTCTTCTCTTGTCCTCCTCCCTTTCCCAGTCCGTTCTCCATACCACCCGCTTGGCCACCCCGTCACCCCCTCACTCACCCACTCCCCACCCCTCAGTCAACGTGCCCTCCACTCCTCGCCCCTTTCCCTCTCATTCTCCCTCCTCCCCTTGCCCTTCTTACACATCAACAGTATAAGACTAGATGCAAGTCAAAAATTGTGACAAGTGGTGGAGCGAGTTTTCTTTATTTAACCTTAAGAAAAGCCCTGTTACCTTGTTTTGTTATTTTAGCAAATGGTGGGCTGGTTCCAGTAGCATCTCACCATGACATTGGCCCTGCATTCTCCCCGGTCTCATTGTGTACCAGGTTTTTGGTGGTCCTCCTGTCAAAACTGACCTGGGTCCATCCCACTCCACATCCTGTTTTCTTGTTCTAGATGTAACCAGAGATGTGTGGAGGAAAGAGGGTTCATGGTGCTTTGTTATTTTAGCAAATGGTGGGCTGGTTCCAGTAGCATCTCACCATGACATTGGCCCTGCATTCTCCCCGGTCTCATTGTGTACCAGGTTTTTGGTGGTCCTCCTGTCAAAACTGA